TTGGGATGTCAGGTGGACAGCCTTGGTCGAAATCAGAATGTATTGGAACCACTTGTGGTGAAACTCGGACGCCGAAGCGGTTCTCGGGTCCCCGCGGGTGCTGCGAGGGAGGGCCTTGGACCCGCGCGAGCGGGGGTGCGCACACTGTCCATGATGTTCATCGTGCCCCACACGATATGGCATGTTGCTCGAGGCGCGCCAGCCTATCAATGAGCCAAGGCCCCCCCATCCCCCCAGCCTTCTCTTTTCTCCTGCCTCCACCTCCCCACCCCTGTCCTTCTAACCCCAAGCTGAAAGGTTTACAGTTCTCGTGAAGGCTGGGGTCCGTTCGAGCCTTCCACGCGCTCGATGCTGTTTTTTGCTGGAGCCTGTGTCTCGCCACGTCCAGGCTCTCTGCCAGCCCCCCTCCTTGGGTGAACGATTGCACGGTGGTTGAGGCCCGCAGGGGAGACACAAAAACGCCTGTCCTTCTGCTGTCCCCGAGACTCCCCGCCCCCAGAGATTCGTGCCGCCGTTCTGCTCGCGCTGCCCCGCCCTGAAGGGGGCTCGCGTGGCCCCTCCGGTGGCGCGACGGGCCGTGGTGCCCTCGGCCACCTCCCGCTCTCAAAAGCCCCGTGCGTCGAACCCTTACGGCAGGTTTGCGTCGCTTTGGTGCGGCGGCGACGCCGGCTCGGGTGCTCCAGCGTGAAAGCAACCAGTGGCCCAGAATCCGCCGATGTCGACAGATCGGCGACACTGGAAGGCCGCGATTGTTCAAGGTTGAATGGGCAGCGCGATGACAGAAACCAATGTCGACGTCATCGCGACGTGAACCCGCCGTACCCATCCGCGTCCAGAATCGAACAGACAATCAGGAAAACTATCATCTCAGGAACCTGGGCCAGTTTTCCAGAAGTCTCTTAAAACTGACCGGGGCCAATTCCTGTTGTTAACGTTGAACAAGCAAACGTGCTCACGAAGCCGGGCAAGCTTTCCGGCAAGTTAGTTAAGAACATTGGCACGATTTGTCGGGAGGAGGGTTCTTAATCAGATGCTCGGCTTTGGCTTGGCGTGACTCGCCGCCGGTTCTGGCCCACCACGAATCGGCGCGACACGCTAACCACGTCGCGATCCCCAGGCGTCAGCGTCCTGAGCTTTTCCCGACCTTCTGCCCGGCGGAGCAGAGCGACGCGTCATCCACCTGCACGGCATAGCGTGCCGCTGTGGCCGCCGCCGCGACACGCCAAGCAAAAGTTCCCGACCGCAGAACGGACACTCGGAATCATTCCGCCTCGGCAGCGCGAGAACCATGTGCCTCTGCAGCGCCCCCGTCGGGGAACTCGGTCCTGCAGCAGCGCGGGGAGATTCGCGCTGGACTGGTCCCACCGCCTTGTGAAGACTACCCCCTTCGGACCCAGATATGCTCAGGAGCGGCCAAGAGGGGGGTGATGACTAGGGGTGGGGTGCATGAGATCTCCCAGACCTCAAGGCCACCGATTCTTCTTTCAATGCGTTTCCTGACCCCCCTGGGCCACGCACGTGCCTCGGGCCACGATTTGCGACCCCCCTCTTGGAGGCCCCCAACATGCGATGTCTTGCTGTTCTGAGATGCGCGCCCCCAGAAGTCCCGATCCTTCCCCACATGGCCAGCCTTCCATCCCGAGCAGCTTTTTTCAGGAGGGGGAAAAACACACAGACACAATTAATCGTCGATTCCCATGAAAATATGGGAAAATATGGGAAGTGGGGGGGGAAGACAAAACCCCAGAAAATATAGGAAAATGTTGCGAACCTGTTTATTTGTGTGTCTTTATTTGTGTGTCCTGGGGCCCCTTCATTCTTGACGGCCCCGAGGCCTCGCGAGGGGCCCCTCGGGGCCGAGCACGGCCGGGACCGTGCCGCCGCCAGGTGCCCACGACGCGGGCGCGCCCGGGGGAGCCGGGGCCCCCCCTGCCCCTGCTGCACGTGCACACGCGCGCACGCCGCGGCCGGGCCCCCCGGGCAGGCCCTCTGGGCCTTCGACCTCGGCGGGCGCGGACTCCCCGCCCCCGGCGCCGAGCCGACGTCACTTCGGGGGGCGGAGAAGGAGGGGGGGTGATGACCAGGGAGGGGGGATCTCATGGCGGGGGGCGTGATATTTCCTCGGATTTCATGGCGCCTCTTCTTAGTTATGTCATTACGTCCCTGGCCCCCCCGCTGGGCCGCGCACATGCCGCCGGTCGTGATTTGCACCCCCCCCCCTCTTGGACACCCCCCTCTTGGCCGCTCCCGATCATTCTAGGCCTCCCCGGCGGGGTCGGAGCACAGTCAACCCGCATGGCAAGGAGGAGCAATTGTCCAGGGTTACCCCCGGCATCCTCCCCGTTCGGCCCATCCTTGGCCGCTTTCGCTGGCCGCGCCCCGCCCGCAGGGTGTCAACATGGCCGTCCAAGGCCCTGGCATCCTTCATGAGAGCAAGCGACAAGAAACAACTTCCTGGGCGGACGATTGAACAAATAGTTTCGCGGGCCTTCGCGCCACCGCAGAAGCGGGGGGGCGGGGCAGGCAGACGGAGGGCGGACAATCCCGGGTTGTCTGGAGGCCCCGGGGGGGCGTGGGCTGACAATTCAGGGCGGGGGAGCGGGGGGTCAATTCAGAGCCGGGCAAGCACAAGCTGGGAAGGATTTCGCGGGCTGACGATTCGAATTCGCAGGGGCGGACTATTCGAAGCCGCGGGGGTTGCTGTTGGCCAGCCCTGAATGGAAAATCCGCCAGTCCTGCACGGAAGGCAGACAGTCTGCGCCGCCTTCAGACAGCGACCTCCTTCCCCACCTCCTCTTCCTATTCTCCTCCCCCTCCTCCTCCTCCTCCTCCTCCTCCTCCTCCTCCTCCTCCTCCTCCTCCTCCGTCTCTATCCCTTGTCACCTTCCCCCTGCCAAGTATTGTTCCTCTACAATTATTCAATATGCATTTTTCTTATCTCTCCACTGATGCACTCCAGAAGATTGCCTGCACCCCTCCATGTATTACGTTTTTAAATTACACAGGTTTGGCGCGAATCCGTTTCTTATATTTGTTTGTTCAATCGGAACGTGTTCGGTTCTTCCAAAATGTTGTTCCCGCTGTAACGCTGGCCTCATTTTCGAGCTTCCGCTCGGTTCGAATCCTCCCGCGTGCTGTGTTTTTACACCGAGGATTGGGGGAGTGTGTTGTTCAAATCTGTTGTTCAATCCGGAATTGTTCGGTTCTTCCGACACGCTGCTCCCGCGGCAGCGTTGGCCGCATTATCAAGCTCGAACCGCCGTCCGCGAGGACGACAGCTGGGCCGTCGGCGAGGACGACAGCTTCGCGCTTCCCCCCGCCGCCACCGTCGCTACAGGAGGAAAAACTGGCATCGCAAGAAATACATAATAATAACCAGACAAGCGGGCGAAATCAGAAGAATCGTTTGCACATCCTTGAATCGGTCGAAGATGCACTCAGCTGAACGTAAGAGGTCTCAAATTTCAACGCAACGTTCAAAGGACAAATGGGCGCACACATTGTTCCAGCTCCTGCGATCGCCGCATCTGCCATCCCACCGTCCTTTGCTCCTGTGCACACATTCTTTCTGCATCGACATGTTTCCCCGAAGAGGTGCCGACTCAGGTTGGTTCTTAAATCGGGGGTGAGAAAATTGCATAAACATAAACTTTCGGCGGTCCTCCGCGGAGTTCCTGGATCTGCGCCGGGACTCCTTAGCGGCGCTTCCGGCGCCACCTCTCCGCGATCCTCCTCCCGCGGCCGCGGGTGATCAGACGAACGCAGGAGGACGAATAGAAAATCAGTTTCCGCAAGGCGGCAAAATAAAACGCCAGGGGGGCAGACGATTAAAAGAAACAGTTTCCAGCGGCCGAATTCCATTAGTCTGCCCCACTCATTCATGTTGGGGCCCCCGGGACGGGGGGGGGGCATTTTCTGAATCGTTTGCCCCCTTTATCGTGCGTCCTTGTTATACGGGTTGACTGTCACTGGGGTCAGAGGATCGCGCCGCATCGCCAGTGCATCGGGGAGGCAACTCGATGTGGAGCCCGCTCTCCTCCTCGCCAGCGTCACCGATGCGTCCCCGACGTCGCTGATGCATCGCCGATGCATCGCCGATGCGGCGCGATCCTCCGACCCCGTCTAGGAGGCCGCGGGTCATCCGCCCCAGAGTGGGCCCGTGGCGGTGGTGGTGCTGCTGCCCCCCCCCCCCTCCTCGAGGGCACACCGCAGCTTAGCTGCCCTGACGCGCCCGTGCCGAGACGCAGCTCTGTTTGCTCTGCGGGGAGTTGGGTCCAGCAGGCGTTCAAGCAAACGGCGGGCGCATCCGTTGTGCGAGCTGAGGAGCGAGGTGAGGGACAGGAGCAGGGCGAGGGGCGAGTGAAAGGGACGCCGTGGGGCGGCGGGAGAACCCTCAGGTCGCGTAGACCTTCAGGATGTGCCCTGGAGCAGACTCACATTCACGACACACGTGCTGAAGCCCAACACGTACCGTGTTCTTCTGGGTTCCACGCGTTGCGTGGTGGCTCAGCGTGTTGGCCTACGGTTTGGCAAATGCATCGCGCTAGACGTACGTGTTTGTTCTACGCGTTTAGCTCCGTGTCAAAACGGTTCAGGCTACAGGCATGCTCGCGTCGTGTCAAACGCAGACGTGCAGTTTCGTTGGCCGTGTTCGGCCTCTGGGAGCCCTCGCCTGGCCCCGCGACCGTCACAAAAGGATCCGGGACGAAAAAGTGGTCCCAGGGAATGGGTCCTGAGCTTCAGGGACCGTTCGCTCACCGGGAACGAACAACAAGAGCGCATGCTTTCACAGGTCAGCGCGGATTTCTCGGGCCGTCGTTGGGTCCCTCCTCGCCAAACCTCCCTCCTTGGCGCGCGCGGAGCTCGCCAGAGACGGCGCTAGAGACGCCGCCTCGGTGTTCTCTGCCGACCCGAGAAAGCCGTGGGGACTTCCCGAAGCTCATGCTAATTACCTGTTGTGGTTGTCTGTGGTGGCGGTGTTGCTCGCTCCCCTTCTCGAGGAGAAGCGCTGGCAGCGCTCCATCGACCGGCTCCAGCGCCAGGTCGCGGACCTCACCAGGAAGAACGCGGAGCTGCAGGAGGAGGTGCGCAGGGCCAACCAGCAGGCCCAGCAGGCCCAGGGGGGCCACGCCTGGGGCGACGCGAAGGACTCGAAGGACCCGAGGTGGGTGGGCGAAGGGCGGAGGGCAAGGAGACCGAGGACAGGGAAGGCAAGGACAACGGGAAGAAAAGGGAGGAGGAGGAAGAGCAGGAGAAGGATGACGACGAGGAGGATTTTGTCGTTACGCTGGTCTCTCTCTCTCTCTCTCTTTCTCTCTCTCTCTCTCTCTATCCCCGAGCACGACCTCGAAGACGACGACGACAGCGAGAAAGAAATTGCACGGCACGCGGTGGGCTAAAGATCTAAATATACACCAAAGGAGAGCAACAATATGTCAGGTAGACCTCTCCCCAGTCACTTACAAACATGCGGATCACAGTTGATGGCAATCGACGCTCGGATCTGGTGGATTGGCAGATGAAAAGCACAGCTGCTCTTGCGAGAACTTGAACGATGCCGCCCGAAGAGGCGAAGCCGCCCGCTGCTCACGCGGAGGCCGCCCGCCACGCTTCGAGGATCCCGAAGAGCGCTCGCGAGCGGAAAGCCCTCCGACTCCTGCACGCAGAAATGCTCGTCGGAAAGGTGCGCCCCCTCGCCCACAACGTCGGAAACAGCGGATTCGGCCGCGTCCGCGTCCTCGGGAGAGGCGCCCAGTGGCGCCCACGTGCCAGGGGCGTCACCATTCACGCGCACTGAAGCGGGACCCCTGCCGCCAGCTTCCTCCAGGACCGAAGGCGAGGCTTTCCCCGCGAAGTCCCAGGGGACGCCGTGCCACCAACCATGGAGCATCGCAGACCTCTCAGAGCCGAGGCCAGCACGCCGGCACAGTGGCTCGAACTGATTCTTGAGCTCCTCGTTGCCGCCGCCCGAGCCGCACACGTCGCGATCGGCGTCCGCGGATAGGAGGGCGGCACCAAAGCTCTCGTCACCCCGCCGAGCTTCGAGGCGAGGCTCACTCTGAGCATGGCGGAGCGCGGCAGCGTCCGCCGCCGCCACATCGACGCCGGGAGCATCAGCATGAAGGGCAACGTTCCGCCGCAGCCTCTCCAGCCATGTCGGCGGCTCTCCACAAAGCATCGCCAGCAGCGCGAGAAGGAGCGCCCGAAGACGCTGCGCTGCCTCCGCGTCGCCAATGACAGCATCGAGGGCCGCCTCCCGCTGCAGTAGGGCGCAACTCGCATCGGACAGAGGCTGGGCGCACATCACCCGCGCCTTCCTGGGCCATCCTCTCAAGCACGACGAGAGGGGCAAGCAACCGCAAGCAAGAGGGGCATGATGCCGAGCCATCTTGAACACTGGGGCTGTCGCTCGCTGTTGAGCGGCTTGAGCCAAGATTGCAACGGACGACGTCGATGGGGAGGATTAGAAAGATGAGGGAGGACAGGAGAAGAAGGAGGATGAGGAGGATGAGGAGAAGGAGCAAGAGGAGGAGCAAGGGAAGAGGAGGAGTAGGAGGAGGAGAATGAGGAGGAGGAGGAGGAGGAGGAGGAGGAGGAGGAGGAGGAGGAGGAGCAAGGGAGGAGGAGGAGGAGGAGGAGGAGGAGGAGGAGGAGGAGGAAGAGGAGAGGAGGAGCAGGAGGAGCAGGAGCAGGAGGAGCAGGAGGTGAGGAGGAGGAGGAGGCAGGATGACAAAGGGTGTGAAGGGGTCCAGGAGGAGGGGAGAGGAGAGGAGGAGGAGGAGGAGGAGAGGAGGAGAGGAGGAGGGAGGAGGGGGGGCACCCGGGAACTCCAATGCAGTCACAGGATCGCTCCTCCTCCTCCTCCTCCTCCTCCCTCCTCCTCCTCCTCCTCCTCCTCCTCCTCCTCCTCCTCCTCCTCCTCCTCCTCCTCCTCCTCCTCCCCCCCTCGGGGTTTGGGGGCAGCCTGACTTTACTGGAACCCAGAGACCTCGCGGCTCGATGCGTTTTGCAACATGGCTGCCAGCCCCTGCCCCGGGGCTGCCTGGTCATCTCGAGCCGGGGCCCGAACTTGGCTTTCAGAGGCGGGCGCACAGCGCGGTCGGAGCCCAAGCGGGGACGCTGCAGGGCGAACTGTGCACACGCAGCGGGGCTGCTGGTGGCCGCGGCGGGGGGGAAGTAGAGGGGCAGCGCACTTAGGCCGCGAAGGACCTCGTGAAGCGTGTGCGGCGGCCTCAGGCTGTAGAAACGAGCATCAGAAAGTTCAGGGTTCGCTGGGGACTGGTTTCCCGCCACAGCGACCAAAACCCTCCCGAAACTCTTCGAAAACCCTCCCCGACAGGTTCAGGGAGGCTCTTCGGGGGGTCCTGAAAGGGTTTCGCAAGGGTTTGGATCGCTTTGGGGGGAGCCAATCCCGAGCAAAGCTTGGACTTTCTGAAACTAACAGCCCCTTCGATTCTGTTGAGCGAGCAGATGTCCGGGCCCTGCTGGGATCACGAATCGGCCCTGGGACCTGCTGGGATGCGCTATGGCCGGAACTTCGAGGCAGGGGCCCAGCCGCGGCGGCAGAATGGCTGCCGCGAGGCGCGAAATTGGCAGGCAATCCCAGAGAAACACCTCGAAGTTCGATCTTCGATGTGCCGCCGTCCGTTCTGTTCGCGTCGCAAGGGCTCTGTATACTGGAGCGGCGGCCCTGGCCAACATGTGGCCAACTAGCCCCATTGGGTCATGAGGCCAACGCATAGGGGGCCACATGCGAACCCTACCCCTACCCCCCACGATTTCTGCGGGGGAGGGTGGGGTTCACCTCGTTCCGGAGCTCCCGAGCGAAGTGAACCCCACCCTCCCCCTCAGAAATCGTGGGGGGTAGGGGTAGGTTTCGCATGTGGCCCCCTCAACACAGGGTCGCACTGGCCCCGTTGGGCTCATGCCCGCCAGCACGGGCGCGCGACTGCCAGAAGTTGGAAACGCTGCCAGATAGATGCGGCCATGTCCGAGGCGAGGATTCCTCTCGGGGTGAGCTTGTGCCAGAATTTCGACGCGGATCCGGTCGTGTCCCCGAGGGTGCCCAGGAGGCCCAAGAAGGCGCAAGGACGTCTCAGAGCCTATTCCCTCGAGTCCTTCCTCGGCTCCTGTTCTCCTTTTCTCGCTCCTCGGCTCCTCGCTTTCCTGCTCGTTTCTGTCACTTGTCTGGCTTGCTTTTCTCTGTCGGCACGTCCCGTGGTCCGAATAAGAGCTGCGGTGGCCCGCACCGCCACGCTGGCGAATAGCCGGGCGTCGGGCTTGATAACCAGATGCTAGGGCCCAGGATCATTTAAGCACCTGTTCCCTCGAACCTCGATCATCGATCTTCCAGATTTGGCCCTGATGGACTGCGAGGCTACGACCCCCATGCCAGTCCCTAATGGGCACGGGCGGGCTCCACGGCGGAGCGCGTGGGTTTCTGGTTTTCGCTCGTTCGTTCGAAGCTCGATCCCCCCCCTCGAGCCTCTGACAACGCACGCCCATATTCATTAGGGGAAACGGAGGGCGCTATGGGTGTTATTTCATGCGAACTTTCCCACTGGTGCCTTCGGTGGGGCTCTCTATGTGGCCACGAAACATGTGAGGAGTGTGCCGAAATGGGCGTGGCGCCGCCATGCGACTTTCTCAGCTGGGGCCTTCCGTAGGCTGGGCCCACGTGGGGCCACGAAGTGTGTGCGGGGTGTGCCAAAATTGGCGCGGCCATCCACGCGAACCTTCCTACTGGGGCTGTCGGCGGAATTGCCACGATGCTGCTCTAGGGATGCGAAACGTGTGCGGGCTGTGCCGAGATGGGCGCGGCGCCGCCATGCGAACTTTCCCACTGGGGCCTTCGGTGGTTTTCTTTCTTGGGCAAGGAAACGTGTGAGGGGTGTGCGGAAATGGCACGGCACCGGCACGCAAACTGTCCCACTGGGACCTTCAGTAAGGCTTTTTTGGGTGCCACGACACTTTTGGGTGTGCCGAATTGGGTGTGGCGCCGCCGTGCGAGTTTTCCCACTGGGGCCTTCGGTGGGGCTGTTTGGAGGGCCACGGAGTGCCTGCGGGCTGCCTCAAGAAGTGGGCGGGGGCAGAAGCAGGGAGGGGAGGAGGGAGGAGGAAGATGATAGGAGAGGAGACGCGGAGTGCTGTGGATTCGAACCGAGGAACCAGCACCACAGGATGTAACAGCTGCATAATCATAAACGTTCGCTGGACGACCCCAGCGGCGCCTCCAGCGCCGCTCCTGGCGCGGTCCGCGTGCCAGGGAGGGGGGCGGCTGTCCAAGAAATCTTCGCAGAGCTCCACAACTCTATGTGCATGCGTGCAGTTTCCCGTTCAGCCCGAAAACGGCGAAACGCATCCACCTGGATTTTTCCATGACATTGGATGTCTGGGTCCCAAGGGTCAGGACTCGCCCTCCAGACCTCGCCTGGCGTGCGCTCGGAGCAGAAATTCTCGAGGTGAATACAGCTGTGGCGACGAGGCGTCCTCCAGAGGCTGAAAGCATGGATCCTCGAAGTTCAAGGTTCGAAGTTCGAAGCACGTTGGATGTCTGGGATGTCTGGACTGTGCTCGCTCGACGCCCGGCGAGGAGCGCCCTGGCCGCAGCGCCTCGGCCGCCTCCCTCCGCAAGCGGCCGGGCGCCGGCGCTGGCGCCGGCGCTGGCGCGGCCGCCGCCGCGCCGCCCGCGGCCTCCTCGGTGCGGGCCGCGGCGGTGCCCGGCGCTGGCGCGCCCTCCGTCGGCGCCGTCGCCTTGCCGCCGCCGCCGTCGGGCGTCGCCTTTGCCCTCGTCGCCGTCGCCGTCGCTGCGTCGCCGCCGCCGCCTTCGGCCTCGTCGCCGTCGCCGCGTGGCCCGCCGCCTCCGCCGCCGCCGTCGCCGCGTGGCCCGCCGCCGCCGTCGCCGCCGCGTGGCTCGCCGCCTCCGTCGTCGTCGTCGCGTCGTCGTCGTCGTCGTTCGTCGTCGTCGTCGTGTCGTCGTCGTCGTCGTCGTCGTCGTCGCCGTCGTCGTCGTCGTCGTCGTCGTCGTCGTCGTCGTCGTCGTCGTCGTCGTCGTCGTCACCGCCGTCGCCTCGCCGTCGTCGCCGTTGCCCGTCGACGTCGCCGTCGCCGTCGTCGTCGTCGTCGCCGTCTTCTTCGTCATCGTCGCCGCCGTCGTTACGCAGTCGTCGTCGTCGTCGTCGTCGTCGTCGTCGTCGTCGTCGTCGTCGTCGTCGTCGTCGTCGTCGTCGTCGTCGTCGTCGTCGTCGTCGTCGTCGTCGTCGTCGTCGTCGTCGTCGACGTCGTCGTCGTCGACGTCGTCGTCGTCGTCGTCGTCGTCGCCGTCGTCGCCGTTGCGTCGTCGTCGCCGTCGTCGTCGTCGCCGTCTGCTTCGTCATCGTCGCCGCGTCGTTTCGTCGTCGTCGTCGTCGTCGTCGTCGTCGTCGTCGTCGTCGTCGTCGTCGTCGTCGTCGTCGGCGGCGTCGTCGTCGTCGTCGTCGTCGTCGTCACCGCCGTCGCCTCGTCGTCGTCGTCGTCGTCGTCGTCGTCGTCGTCGACGTCGTCGTCGTCGTCGTCGTCGTCGTCGTCGTCGTCACCGCCGTCGCCTCGCCGTCGTCGCCGTTGCCCGTCGTCGTCGCCGTCGCCGTCGTCGTCGTCGTCGCCGTCTTCTTCGTCATCGTCGCCGCCGTCGTTTACGCAGTCGTCGTCGTCGTCGTCGTCGCCGTCGTCGTCGTCGTTGTCGCCGCCGTCGTTTACGCAGTCGTCGTCGTCGTCGTCGTCGTCGTCGTCGTCGTCGTCGTCGTCGTCGTTGCTCGGCGATCGAGGGTCGATGTTTCTAGCTGTGTGGTTCACGTTCGGCCCTCCTCAGGCCTCCGCGGAGGCCTTCGAGGGTCCGAGGAGGTCGCTGGCTGGCTTCGCCCCTTGCCGCACCGCCGCTGCCCAGCCGCCCACGAGTCTGCGGCCACGTGGGGAACACATACCGATATCGGTATCCTTCCGTCGCTGTCGCCACTCGGGGCCTCCCAGGGTGGCCCTCGTCGCCACGGCCGTGTTCGCCTCGGAGCCTCGGGAGGTTTGCGCGGCGCTGCTTGCACGGGCGCTCCTTCGCGGTGCCGCCCTGCTGTGGAGTGGCCGCTGTTTGCAGGCCCTCGGGCCATCCGCGACGGAAGGCCAGACCAGAGGATGGGGTCGCGAGTTCCTGGGCCCGCGCCTTGAAGGACTCACGACGTCAAAGACGCGGGGCCGTCTCCATCCCCCCTCCTCGACGCCGACGACGTCATCACCGACGAGCTCGAAGGTCTCCAGTCTCCAGAGGCCTGGCCTCTGTGGCCCCTGCCTGCAGCCCTCGTGCCGAGGGACCCCCGAAGGCTTCCGCTCAGACCATCTGGAGACACAAGAGTGGTCGGGGTTGCGCATAGATGAGGCGATCCAGAAAGGGCCTCGCCTTTGAAGATCGAATGAGTTGCCATCTCTTCCCCGGCGGGAGATCGGCGCAAGGAGGCGGAAGTGAAACGAGGGCGGTTCCGCCGGCGGAAGCGGGCAGAAGGCCAGCGGAAGGCGGCGGAAGAAAAAGTCGGCTTCAAGAGATGGCAACATTGTTGGGTTCAGGGTTTCCAGAACCAGCCAGATACCTGGGCATCGGGCGTGTTCGCCGCCTTTCCGAGCCCCAGGGGCTCTCATTGGCCGACCCAGCTGGATAAATCCTTTAGCAAGATGGGATCGAGACCTCTAGCCCTTGATGCTGCACAACGAGGTGATCTTGTAGAAGCTTCAGATCTCTGGGTCGACGCTGCCAGGGCCAATTTCGATCCGATCGATACGATTCCATATCGATTTCGGCTGGCCCGATTCGATTCGATTCCGATGTCCAGACGATGCGGTGTGGCCCGATGCTTGCATGGCGCTGTTGTGGATCTTGGCGTGACCGATCCGATTCGATTCTTACTCCATGCCGATGCTGCCCGATCCGATGCAAATTCCGATTCGATCCGATGCCGATTGATCATGCGATGTCGCGTCTGTCGGCGTTGCCGCCGCCGCCGTCGGCGCCGGAGGGCCCAGCCGTGGGAAGTCGCCTGGCGCGTCCAGCGCAGGGCAGCCGGCCAGGAGGGCGCTGTCGGGGGGCAGGTACTCCGAGTCTAGGCCGGCTTGGGCCCCTCTAAAATGTGTGTGTGGTGCGTGTGCGTGTGCGTGTGCGTGTGCTTGTGTGTGTGCGTGTATGTGTGTGTGTATGTGTGTGCGTGTGTGTATGCGTTTCTGTGTGTGTGTGTGGGGTGGGGGGGGGCGGGGGGGGGGGGCGTGCTTCTGCGTGTGCGTGTGCGTGTGCGTGTGTGTGTGTGTGTGTGTGTGTTTGTGTGCGTGTGTGTGTGTGTTTGTGTGTGTGCGTGTGGGTGTGTGTGTGTGTGTGTTTGTGTGTGTGCGCGTGCGTGCGTGCGTGCGTGCGTGCGTGTGTGCGTGCGTGTGTGCGTGTGCGCGTGTGCGTGTGTGTGTGTGTGTGCGTGTGTGCGAGTATGCGTGTGCGCGTGTGTGCGCAGCACCGCGGTGTGGCATCTGGGCTTTCTGAAAACGCACCGGCGGGGGCTCATCCGCCCCCTTTGTTGGCGGGCCGCCCGCGAGCCCTCGTGGGGCAGTTCGGCCCCAGAGAGGCCCCGTGCAAAGAAGAGGGCCGCGACGTCCAGTCGATATGTTGATGTGTTTCTTCGGTGCAGGGGTTTTCTCGCCACGCAAGACGTCGGGGCCACCACCACACCTCGCTCCCTTCCCTCCTCCTCCCAGTGGAGGAAGAGGAGGAGACGACGATGAGGAGGAGGAGGAGGATGGAGAGGGCAGAGGGGGGAAGACAGGGAGCTGCGCTGCTTGTGTGTGTGTGATATACCTGCACGACCACCCCTCGGGTGATAAGGAGGTTGTGGGGGGAAGGGGGAGAGGCGGGGGAACCAACATCTGACTCAATCGATCTTACTATCGATCTCACTCAACGGGACACCACGGGACACTTGTCGATCTCACTATCGATCTCATTATCGATTTCACTCAACGGGACACCACGGGACACTACGGGCCACCACGGGACACCATGGGACACCGCAGGACATCTCTCGATCTCACTATCGGTTTCACTATCGATCTCACTATCGATCTCATTCAACGGGACACCATAGGACACCACGGGAAACCACAGGACACCTCGGGACACCACATCGATCTCATTATCGATCCCACTTTCGATCTCACTCAACGGGACACCACGGGACATCACGGGACACCTGTCGATCTCACTATCGATCTCACTGTCGATCACACTATCGATCTCACTTTTTGGGACACCACGGGACACCTCAGGGCACCACATCGATTTCAGCATCGATCTCACTATCGATCTCACTATCCATTTGTCTTGACTTCGCCCTAGCAACGGCGGACACCACAGGACACCACGGGACACCACGGGTCACCGCGGGACACCGCGAGCCACCGCCCGGACGGGCGGGCGGGGGAGAACCATTTGTCTTGACTTCGCCCTGGCAACGGCGGACACCACGGGACACCACGGGACACCACGGGACACCACGGGACACCGCGGGACACCGCGGGACACCGCGGGCCACCGCCGGACGGGTGGGAGGGGGAGAATCGTTTGTCTTGATTTCGCCCTGGCGGCGGCGGGTTCGTTCCTCTCGCGCGCCCGCGCAGCTTCGCCTCGCCCGCGCGCGCTGCGCGGACGGAACGAAACGATTTCCCGCTTGGGGGCCTCCGTTCCGCTGCGATCTCACCCCCCAACCTCCGATGCACATGTAGCCCTTGTGTGCAGCTGCCATGTCCAGCCCCCTGCTGGCTCAAGTGTAGCCCCCATGTGTAGCCCCCATGCGTGGCCCCTTTGGCGCAGTCCCCATATATGATCCCGGGCTCCGGGCCCACGGGCCCCCCCCCTCCCCCCCAGATGGTATGGTCCCAGGATTCCGCCCCCCCCCCCCCACAGATGGTATGGTCCCAGAGACGACGACGACGACGACGACGACGACGACGACGACGACGACGACGACGACGACGACGACGACGACGACGACGACGACGACGACGACGACAGCGACGACTACGACGACGGCGACGACGACGACGACGGCGACGACCACGACGACGACGACGGCTGCGGCGGCGACGACGCCGGCGGCGGCGGCGGCGACGATGACGACGATGACGAGGACGACGACGACGACGACGACGACGACGACGACGAGGACGAGGACGACGAGACGACGACGACGACGACGACGACGACGACGACGACGACGACCTCTGAACCACCACAGCACCACACCACATCCACAGGGAGGGGGAGGGGGGCAGCGCAGCGCAGCACCACGCCACGCCCACCTCTGAACCACCACAGCACCACACCACATCCACAGGGGGGGGGAGGGGGGCACCGCAGCGCAGCACACGCACACGCCCACAGGGGGGAGCGGGGGGGGACCATCGCGCGGGGGGGGGGGGGGCCCAATGGCATCAGCATTGGGGGGGAGGGGGGGGGGGGCCCAAGCCCTGGACCATATATAGCCCCCAGTGGGCTAAAGTGTAGCCCCCAAGCGTGGCTCCAGTGGGCAGCCCCCCAGGGTAGCTACCAGATGTGTGCGTCTTGCTGGGCCCTGCAAGGCTCGCTGTCGATAGCATCGGCTCTTTCGACGAGGGCCTCGAGCACGGCGCCGCGGGCGCGGCCAGCGGCGCCGGCCTTCACGCCAGGCATGCCCCAGAGCTGACCGGCCTCGACAGCGCCGACCGGGGCGCCGGTAGCCTCGGCCCGCCCGTGGACAGCGACGGCCACGCCGACCCCGACGAGTTGCAGGAGTCGGGGGGCAGGCCAGGGGACGACGCGTTTTGGGGCTACTTCGTATCCTGCGCCATCGGGCTTCTCTCCTCTCCTCCTCCTCTTCCTCCGCTTCCTCTCGCTTGCCGACCAGCCTCAGCCAGCGGCAGTGCTGAGGCAGGTCGGCGCTGTTGGTCGTGCTGCGGGGGACAGAGCTCCTCCCCTCGCGGCCCGAGGCAGCGCCATGGAGTCGGGCGACTCCGACTGACTATCTTTTTCTTTCGGCTCTGTCTTCTCTGTGCTGTCCTGCTGGCGTAGGCCAACAGGGCCGTGCAGAGTCAGGGTTGGCCGCCTGGCTTGGCCATTCGGTGCAGCCTGCATCTCCCTCCGCTGCCGGCTGGCTGCCCTGTATTGTCGGGGTCGGGAGGCTGCGTCGTGGACGTCCAAGAAAAATCTTCTCCTCGGCACGGCGCGCCGGGGCATTACTTGTCACATGCAGCTCTTGGTGTCTTCTTGTTTGTGCTCCGTGTTTCTCTCCTGGGCAACGGTCCTCTACACGAGTTTGCCTGTTGCAGGTCGGTTTGTGTGGCCTTCTAGGTTTGCCTGACGGTTGTCTGGCTCGCATTTACCTTCGCCGAGGCTTTGTATGCGGAGTGGATCGGCACCGACTGTTAACCCGCATTCCCGCCGGTCCGTTATCATCATCGAGTGTTAAAAGAAAGTACAGATACCGCTGCTGGCCCTGGAGACCCAGCCATACTCGCGTCGTGGGAAAATCACGACCCAAGTTTTTTGGCCGCCCAGTACCTTTGCTGGGATTCGGGACCGACCCAGAACGACTCGGGATAATAAGCTGGCCCTGTGGACAGGGTTCTGGGGACCGCGTATCGAAAAACCAAGTCGTCGCAGATTTGGGAAGGTACCGATGCACGCAAGCTATCGGCGGCCACGCGGCCGGGACAGAGCCGACTGGGCCTACGCAGAGCGAATATCATGTCACGGACTCGGTGCGCGGCCTCATCGGGACTTCCCGTGGCAATCCACGGCCGGATGAGCCAGTACCCTTCCAGTACCCCTTCAGAGGAGCGAACGGGGGCCTCCGCTCTCCCTTCCTCCCCTCACTCCTCCCCTCGCTCCCGCTCACTCCTATGAAGGGGTACTGATTTGACCGGCCGTGGATTGCCACCGGAAGTCCCGATGAGGCCGCGCACCGAGTCCGTGACATGAGGTTCGCTCTGCGTAGGCCCAGTCGGCTCTGTCCCGGCTTCGTGGCCGATAGCTTGCGTGCACGGCAGTTCCCCTCCCCATCCCCTCTCGCTCCCTCCTCCCTCCTCTCCTCCTCCTCCTCCTCCTCCTCCTCCTCCTCCTCCTCCTCCTCTTCCACTTCGACTGTGTAGTCCGATCAGCGGCGTTCATGGTCATTCGCTGTGCCACCTGCCCCGTTCCAAATACGTGTCTCGGACTCAGCGCCGAGGGCGTTCGGGACGGCGCTGGCGTTCGGCGGCATCTTGTTTTTCTCGCCAGTGCCTAGGAGAGCGTGCTCGCAACAAAGTGTGGCTGCTTTCCCGCCGGTTTGATGGCATGCTGGTTAGGCACTAATGTCCATCACTATAGTTCGCGCAGGGCTCCCGGGCATTGATTGTCACGAGTGGCCCTCTGCCACTCCTGCCGTGCGGTGGCGGATAGGCGGCCACAGCCTACATAATCTTAGCTTGCAGTCACGCGCTGTCGGGCCACACCTGCAAGCGCTTTGACGTCTCCCTTCCTTCTCTTCCTCCCGCGCTTGCCTTCCTGATGCGGAACGCTGCCTTGCCCTGCTGGGGAAGGCCTGCTTTCCGCCTCCTCGTCTGGCTCTCCCCCTCTCCTCTCAATTTGCCAATGCACCCGTGCCCACCCGGGCCGATTGCTTCGTGAGTGGCTGGAGGCTCGGACGCGGCCCGGGAGGGCAAACGGCGATTGCCGCCGGGCGGTTTTGGGTTTCCGCCATTTTGTTTCCATTGCTATTGGTCGACAGTGTCTGCTTGGCTCCCGCCTGGGGGCTCGCCTCGCGCATCTCCTTAATTCTTTCGCCCCCACTCATTAGATCGTTGTTTTTTGCAGGCCTCGTCAGCCCTCCTCGCTTGCTTCCTCCCCCATCGTTTCGTCGCACTGTTCGCACTTTACCTGATCGTGCTGCCGCCTGGCTGCTCGATTTTCGAGGGCGTGTAGGTTTGCGTGGTGATTCACGGAGTTTCGTAGTGCGCTTTAGTATGAACCCCATCTTGGGGCTCTGGGTTTCCCTCCTCCTTCCACTCCCTCTTCGCCACCTGCTGGCGCACGGACCGCCCACTGTCTTCCCCAGGCCACGGTTCACTCCCTGGGCCTGCCTACTGCAGGTCGGTTCGCGTAGTGTCTCCGGCCCTGCGACCTATTGACTCGCATTTTTCGCGGCTGCAGCGTTGCGTCGAGTGTTTTCCTGAGCGAAGTTCAGCCAGGTCCCGTCCCCCTTCTCTCCCCGCCTCTTCCTGCTCTCCCTCCTCTCCTCTTCGTGTGGCCTCTTGGTTTTCACTTCTGGCTTGGGCCAGGATCTTAAGCAGCCAATGCGCATCTTCTTGTTGAGTCATCGTGTCCGCTCCCATCTTCTCCCTCTTTGGAAAGGTACCAATGTCGCTGCTCGTCCTGGACAGCCCTCGTCGCCGCGGCTGGATTCTTCACGAAATTCTGGCCAGAACGCACCTCAGGAGAGGTCCTTCTCGCGCCTTGGCAGAATCAAGACGGGAGGTTTTACGCTATGGCTTGCGGAAGCTCTTACCGGGCCTCGGGGCCGTCGGAAACGACTCAGGAGGAAAACCTAGCCCCCGAGAAGGGCCCAAACCTGGAGGTCCACGCCATAAAGAAACACCGCGCTGGGGCTCTGGGTTTGTGGGGTGGCGGTATCGGTATTTTTCGGATTCCCCGCAGGAGGTGCGGAAGCTGGACGGGCGCACCGAGAGGATCTTCGCCAGCGGCCGCCGGGAGGTCGAGTTCGCCAACGGCTTGCAGAAGGTCATGTGGCCGGAGGGGCGGACCGTCGTCAAGTTCCAGAACGGCGACAACAAAGAGATCCACCCGGACGGGGTGGTCGTGTACCATTATGCGGGTGCTTGCGGCAAGTCCCGCCACCGTGCCAGCTCGGGCACACTCGGTGGAGAAGCTTCGAGCATCGAAGGCCGTCACGTGTGGCACCCCTAGTGCCCACTGCCTGAGAGGAGCTCTCGTGGAGCTTCTTGGGGCTGTTTGGGACCCTACCAGGCAGCACTCGGCACCCTACCGCGCCTCAACGGGCCAGGGGGCACGGTGGCGGATTCTGCCACCGGAGCGGTGCAGACGACATTGCCAGACCGGACGGAGCTCTACCAGTTCTCCGACGGCCAGTTCGAGAGGCACGGGCCAGACGGATCGAAGGAGATCAGATTCCCGAACGGGACCTCCAAGCGTATCAAAGGTACGCTTCCGCGCATGCCCAGTCCGCCTCGCCCTGCTGAGGCCAGGGGGTGTTCTTCGGGTGGAAGGGGCGAGCATGGGGCAGGTCCCGGACTTCAATGTCTTGACAAAGTCAAGGCGAAGGTGCCGGACTTCCAACGTCTTCACAAAGTCATGGCGAAGGCTTGCTTTCAATTACGGCCTTTGGGGGCCCTCGTTGGGCCCTGGGACCGTCACAGAACGACTTGGGACGATCAGCCGGCCCTGAAGACAGGTTCGGGATGAGCGCTCAGTATGAAGCATTTCACGAAAGATGCCTGGGGATACGCGTGGCTTCCCACCAGTGGCTTTTGTGCTTGGGATCACTTCCCGCTGAGAAGGCCGAGACCAAGGGGACCTCGAAGGAAGAGGGGATGCACGCTCGGCTTGATGCTCGAGAGGTCCTCTCTGCTGCGCCGCAGCTCCTTGGACTGCGGCGAAGGCGAGCGCCAGCGCGGCCGAGAGCTGGCGGGCTGCGCCGCAACATTCGGACTTACGAGTCAAGGTCAGGGAGGTCCTGGATGATGTGGGAGTGGCCGCGGCGCCCGAGGCGTCCTCCAGGCCCGCCGGCTGTCAGAGATGCCCGATCTGTTTTCAAGATGGCCCCAATGGAGCCCCAAAGGGAAGCCCAAATGTCCCCCATGGTGGTCCAAGGAAGTTATCGGGAGGTATTTCGAAAGATCCGCGAAGGCATTTATGGTTGGCTCCTGGGTCTGCTCGGGCTAATTCCGAGCTTCAGCTTGACGGTTGCCCCCCTCTCTGTTTTTTTTTTTGTTCCAAATTGTACTTGATCAAGGATTCGCCTGCGCATCGTTTCTGGATGGACTGGCCAGGATTCTTGTTGGTTCGCAGGCGCACGAAGCGGGTCGGACGCCGAGCAGGCAGGGGCAAGCTGTGCCACTTGCGAAGGGAAAAACAGAGCAACGAGCGACGCCCGGTGTAGAGCGAGACTCACAGAGGCGGCCGACAGCGATAGCGAAGGGAAAAACAGAGTTGAGTAACGCCAGGCACAGGGCGGGACGGGGCTCAACGCTGCCAAAATGGCGCGGACGGCATCACCAGACACCAGGATCACTCACAGCGACGATGTAGGGAAGCCCACGCTGCACCAGGATGGCTGTGACGGGAAGCGCAAGTACCCCACGTAGCCTTGCCGAACACGCGGTCCATGTGGGCGGCGAGAGATGAACCAAGCGCCTCGCTTGCGACCGCAGAGAAAATGCCACACTTACCCACAATGGCAGTGACATACAAGGCGAGAGAGACCGTCGTTCAATTCCCCGGGTATGCATGTCGAACTCGACGACATAAACCCTTCGGCCAGGCAGACATAGAGAAACGACGGGGCATCCCCGTATGAGCAGCGTGAACGACACCGAGGGACCGGCGTGGGCAACGCGAGGAGGTCGCGCCAAGCGGATGCCGAATAGCAAGTTGCCTCCAGTTCCCCAGGAGAAGAACTCGTAGTCGCCGTGAGAGGTGCTGTGCGAGGAAGCGGGGTAGGCCAGGCTGCGGCCGCTCTGCGCCTTCCAGCGGGCGGGTCAGAGGCCCCCCAGGCGGGGGCAAGCACAGGCAGATTGACTGCACATGCTGAGCAAAGAGAGGGGCTACCTCTCGTCGGCAAGGAGCTGCAGCACGACCAGGGGCAGCTCGTGTAGGGCTGCCCGCGGGGCGGCTGCATGCTGTGAAACACGTCCAGGAGTGGCGCCAGACGGTTCCCCAGGCTGATACGTGTGAGAGGCGTCTGACCGCCGCAAGTGTGTAGCCCACGAGGGGAAGGACCGGCAGCTGATCGCTGCAAATACTCTGAAAGCCTCGGCAGAGGAATACCCAAGGTGGGATGGCAGCTCATCGCTGCAGATACTTGAATCTTCGGCAAAGGTATACCCAAGGCGATGCCGCCACCACGGGCAGGCAACGAGGAAGCGGTTGCAGGAAGACCTGAGGACAGGATGTAGCGGCAGGGAGCCTTGCCTGGTCAGGAAGAGTGTTGGATAACGTCGATGCCGAACAACTCGGCAGCTGTAGCGGCAGGAGCGGCAGCCCGGGCCACTGGTCGCCAGATGGCCGGCTGTCGCTGCATCCGTCGGCCTCCGCTGCACTCCCACCGAGGCGTGCCACGCCGCTGCACTGGGGCAGCGGCCGGAGCGGCAGCCTGGGACGTTGCCACTGATCGTCCAGAAGCCTGATGTCGCTGCACCCGTCGGCCTCCGCTTCCCTCCCGCCGCGGCGTGCCACGCAAGCTGCGCTGTCGCTGCTGCGTCGAGGCCAGCTCCACCATGATGTCCCAGCGCCCGTGCGAGACGATGCGGAGCCCAGCCACTGCCTCCACGTCACGACGAGAGATTTGGAAACGGCCCCTCACGTCCGAGAGCATGGCCGCGCCAGCGTTGGACACGTACTGCCAGACCTTCTCCGCCAACGCCATCGGCACCAGAGGGAGGGGGGCCGCGAGGAGGGCGCGGCGTCCACGAAGTGGCCTTTGGACGCCTGCCGATGGATGTAGCCGGCGAGCCGCCTCCGCGCGGCTGCACCTGGCGTTGCCCCGCGCCGCGGCCTCTGAGGGGGCTCGTCGCTCAGGACGCTGGCAACGTCGAACGTTCCGTGCGCAGCCCCGCCGGCAGCAGGGTCAGTCGAGGAGGCGCGCGGGGGGGTGGTCGCCCTCTCCTGCTCGTCTGGCGCCCCCTGCCTCTGCTCCAACGCCTGCTCTGTCCCCAGGTCGTCCGCGTCGGCGTCGACGTCGACGTCGTCGGCGTCGGCGTCGTCGTCGTCGTCGTCGTCGTCGTCGTCGTCGGCGTCGGCGTCGACATCGGCGTCGGCGTCGTCGTTAGCGGCGGCATTGTCGGTCGTCTGCCGCCTGCCGGACCCCACCAGGCCGTCGACGTTGCCGAGCACCAGGTTCCATCCCGCGGGCGGCGGGGTGCTGGAGGATCCCGGGTTTTCGGGGCCAGGCCCGGTGTCTAGCCGCTATCAGGCAGACGCACCAGCGTCGCACGCTGGCCGCCGTGCCGTCGCCCCTTGGCGCTGGGATTCGCACTGTTGTAGGGGAGGGTGGTGTCTCGATGCGGCGCGAGGGGGCGCAGGAAGATGGGGCCAAGGGCCCCGGTCGTGCAGCTTCCTGGTGCGCGGCTCTCGATCGATCCGTCAGGATGACCGCGGCCTCCGTCGTCTCGCGTCTGTGACGGTGGATCCGCCGCTTCCCCAGGGTGGTCTGTCCCCAGTTTGTCGGCGTCGGCGTCGTGAGCGTCGTGGTTGTCGTTGTCGTCGGCGTCGGCGTCGGCGTCGGTCCCCAGGTCGTCGGCGTCGGCGTCGGCGTCGTTGGGGTCGTCGTCGTCGGCGTCTGCGTCGTCGGCGTCGGTTTCGTCGGCGGGAGGGCAAGCCGTGCTCGTGCCAGGACACCCGTTGCCGGCTGACGGCGCAGAAGGGCATTGCACGCTCCAGGAATACGGCTGCACAGCGCCGCCCTCCCCCACCTCTGCAGGGGGGCCGTCGTCTCCAGATGGGCGCTGATCGCCGCAGGTCTCCTGCGCGAATCTTCCCCGCGAAGGCGACCGATCGTCGCAAGTGTCCTGCGTGAATCTTCCCCAGGCAGGCGACTGATCGTCGCGTGCGTACTGTCCTCGTCTCCGTTGCCTTGCGCCGCATCGGAGTTACGTCTTCCCTGGGCTTGGAAAGGGTCGAGGGGAACGGAGGGAGCGATGCCGACATCAGCCGCGGGCGAGGAGGTGTGCGACTGATCGCCGCAAATGCATTGTCATGACGCGAAGCGTTCATCGGCTCTCCCCAAGGGAGGCGGCTGATCGCCGCAAAAGCAGGTGAAAGAGGGGCTTCACGGCTATCCAAGAGGGGGGCGGGTGGGCTGGGAGATCGTCCCGATCTCGATTCAGCCGCAACGTGGATCTGTTCGATCGGGGAAGAGCCGATCCAGCCCCACTCTGCCGTCCCCTAAGGTCGGGGACAGGGCGGCTGTCCCCCCTGCGACCGAGCTTCTCCTCGTGGCCCCTCGCTGGCCTCGGGAGCGGGGACTCGCGGGGTGGGTCCTCCTCTTTCCCGCGATCCAGCTATCGACTCCCGCTCCAAGCCCTCCTCATCGTCTCAACGGTCTTCCCAAGGTTGGCGGCTGATCGCCGCAAGTACATCGAAAATAGGCGGGGGAAAGGGGGGGGTCATCGCATCGATCCGGCTCGAGGGGGCGCAGGAAGATGGGGCCAAGGGCCCCGGTCGTGCAGCTTCCTGGTGCGCGGCTCTCGATCGATCCGTCAGGATGGCCGCGGCCTCCGTCGTCTTGTGTCAGAGACGGCGGATCCGCCGCTTCCCCAGGGTGGTCACGATCAGCACGATCGCCCCCAACGCCCGCGCCCTCCATGTCGCCCTCCACGACCTCGTAGCGCAACGCAGCGCGCGCCGCGAGCGAGGCAACCTGCGCCAGCGCGTCCGCGGCCGCCCAGAGCGCGGCGTCGGCCGTGATGGCGGCGGCCGAGGCGCAGGCGCTGGCCGCAACGGCCGCAGCGGCAGCAGCGGCAGCGGGGCCTCCGTCGGCGCGCGAACTCGGCTCAGGGCCCCCGCCCGCGCCCGCCCCCGGCAACGGCCCCCGCGTGAGCCCTGGGGGCAAGGTGGAAGCCGAGCCAGGCGGAACCGGACGGCCCCCGAGGCCAGCAGCGCTCGCGGCGCCCTCGGCGCCGGCGGCGCCCGCGGCGCACGCTGCGCCCGCGGCGCCCGCAGCGCCCGCGGCGCCCACGGCGCACGCGGCGCTGGCTGCGCCCGCGGCGCCCGCGGCGCCCGCGGCGCTAGCGGCGCCCGCGGCGCCCACGGCACCCGCGGCGCCAGCAGCACCAGCGGTGCCCGCCGCGCCCGCGACCGCCGCAGCGCCAGCAGGGGTGGCGGCGCCGGCGACGCGGGCAGCCCAGGCAGCCGCCCGCCGGCGCCGTCAGCGCGCCGCCGCCGTTGGCAGCTCCATCGCCTGCGGAGAGGGGCGCCAGGACAGGGACCCGTCCCAGCGCCCGCCAGGCTGGCCGAGATCGGGGCCGACGCCGGCCCCCGGGCGCGCAAGCCGGCTTGGCTTCCCTTGGGCCCGGGTGCTTTGAGCCAGAGGCTTGAGCCAGAGGCTACGGTGGGCCTGGCCAGGATTCGCGAAGCGTCAAGAATTCACAAACCAGGACGAGGAGGAACATACCTCTGTGCAACATAACGCCTTCATGTTGCGGTCGTCCTGCGTAATAAAGGCAAGGGGGTCCAACGAGCACCAGCAGCTGCACAGCGCAGCGGCGGATTTTCCCTGACGGGACGGAGGAGGTCCACTTCGCGGATGGCACCGTGAGGCGAACGCCCGCTGGCTCCCGGAGCTAGGCCGCACAAGACGTGGAGCTATGTTGCTATGTTCGGGGAGGCGCCTGGCTCGAGTTTTTGCCAGAACTCGAGCTCGCCGCCGCTTTTTCGACGGCCACGGCGCAGAGGGGGCGGGGGGTGGGAAGGCTTCTTCGAAGCACCCCTGCTTCTAGAAGGTGCGGGCCTTTATCTATTACGCGTATGGCCGGCGCCTTCTAAGAAGCAGCCTCCTTCCAAGAAGCCTTCCCCCCTCCCTCCTACCCCCTTGCGCGCGCGCGAATCTCATGGGGCGGTTGCAACGAGAGTTCGCGTCAGAATTGTTGATTTTCCCGTTGGGCGAGTTCGAGCCCTCTAAAACTAGAGAGCCTTGCGTTTGCCCGATGCTCGCCGCCGCCTGCTTCTCCCGGAACGGCACCGATGGGCGGGGGCCGCCTCCTCCCGAAGTGCGGGAGCCAGGAGCCGAAGACGAAACAAATGCATAACCACACGGTCGGGAACTTTTGGATAGCGCGTCGTTCCGCCGGTTCTGGCCCACCACGCTTCGGCGTGACATGCAAATTATCCACACCCCAGCCCCCAGGTTTGAACGTCCCGAGCCTTTCCGAGCCTCCCGCCCCGCGGAGCGGAGCGACACGCTATCCGTTCGCAGGGCATAGCGTGTCGCCGGGGCCGCCGCCGCGAAATTTTAAGTGAAAGTTCCTGACCGCAGACTTTCGAAGACCCGCGCGGATTCCTTGGATCTGCGCTGGGCCCCTTGGTGGCGCCTGGACCCCCCTTGCGGCCCAATCCCGATCTGAGAAGTCCGCGCGGACTTTCGCGAGATTATGGTTATGCAGTTTTTGTTTTCTCATTCTGAGGAGGGGACGCTGGTGTCGTGCGCTCGACCGTCATTGCATGCCTTTAGTTGATGTGCGGGTTCAAGCAGGAAGATTGCAGCTGGGCTGCAATCCGCAGGGCTAATTACTTGGACGCGGTCTTCTCAACCCGTCGTCCGACTTCTGAAGGGGGCGTCCGTCGACTGCAGCCATGAGGTTGCGGGCTTGGTTGCTTGTTGCTGTTCCTTCGTAGTAGTCCTGGCTCTGCTGGTTCATCCCGTTGGCACGCAGAGACAGCTGCGCCGTACGCTCAATCACGATCATGGCCGTCATCGCCATCATCATCATCATCATCATCATCATCATCATCATCATCATCATCATCATCATCATCATCATCATCATCATCATCATTATTATCATCATCAGCAGCAGCGGCAGCGGCAGCAGCAGCAGCATCAGCTTCATCATCAGCAGCAGCATCATCATCCTTATCCTGATCCTCATCCTCACCTCATCTTCATCATCCTCATCACCATCATCATAATCACAGCTACCACACCACCACAACAACCATCATCACCACCACCATCATCATCATCATCATCAGCATCATCATCATCATCATCATCATCATCATTATCAGCATCATCATCGTCAGCATCATCATCACGGCTTCGCTTGGGCCCAGAGGCCCAGCTTGTTTCCGATGGCAAATTATCCCAGTGCGACCCTACCTAGGAGTTGGAGCATTTAGGAAAGGAACATCTACATCTACACCGACAGCTACATTTACATCTACACCTGCATCTACATCTACATCAACATCAACAGCGAGACTCACATCTACATCCACATCTACACCTACACATACACTTACATCTACATCTACATCTACATATACACCTACATCCACATCTACACCTACACCTACATCGTCTTGGCGCTTTGCTATGCTATGATGTGCTGTGCTATGCTATGCTATGCTGCGTTGTGGTATGCTAAGCAATGCTATGCGATGCTATGCTATACTGTGCTATGATGTGCTATGGTATGCTGAACTACGCCATGCTATGATTTGCTTTGCGATGCTATGCTATGCTATGCTATGCTATGATGTGCTAATGTTGCGCTGTGCTATGCTGCGCTCTGCTAAGCTCAGGTAAGCTAAGCTAAGCTAGGCTAGGCCAAGCTAAGCTAAGTTAAGCCAAGCTAGATTAAGCTAAGCTAAGCTTCGCTAAGAGGTAAGCTAAGCTAAGCTAGGCTAAAGTAGGCAAAGCTAATAAGCCAAGCTACGCTAAGCTGAGATGAGATAAGCTAAGCTAAGCTAAGCTAAGCTAAGCTTAACTTAGCTGAGCTTAGCTAAACTGGGTGAACCCAGGGGGCGCAACTGGGGGAACCGCGAGGAGGATGCTGGGGGAACCGCCCGGGGCGCGTTCCATTGCCCGGCCCTGTAAGCATACCGAGTAAGAACCCTTCTGGCCGTCTCGGGCCGTCGGAAGGCCGAACAAAAAAAACTGCCACAATCCTTCAACAGCTCATGGGCAATCAATGATTTTGGCCTTTTCGGGCTTTCCTGGAGGCCCTCTTGGAGGCCTCTTGGGCCGTCTTGGGCCATCTTAAGGCCACCTTCGGCCGTTTTGGTGGGCTCCTGGCCTGTCTGACGCCGTCGGAAGCCGTTTGGGGGGGTCTCTTGCCCGACTTGGGGCCCCCTTGGAATGCTCCAGGGCCGTCTTGGAGGCCATGTTGGGCGTCTCAAAGGCCTCCTGGGCCGTCTTGGGGGCCTCTTGGGCGATCTTTGGGCGATCTTTGGGGGTTGGAGCCCCCTTGGCCCGTCTTTGGGCCCTCTTGGAGGCGTCTTGGGCTGTCTCGGGGCGGTCTTGGGAGCTTCTTGAGCCGTCTTGGAGCGTCGGAAAGCCGAAAATGCGAAAGGCCAACATCCTTCAAACACCTTCATCAAATCCACACTTTTGGCCTCTTGGGGCCCTCTCGGGAGGCCTCTTGGAGCGCTATTGGGGCCTCTCTGGGCCCTCTTGGGCCATCTTGGAACCACTGGAGCACTCTTGGCCTCGGCAGTGCGACTACAGAGTAGTTTGCGAAGGTTTATGGTTTCGGGGACGCGAATTTTACATAATGTTCACTAGGCTTGTTGCCTCGGGGACTCAACAATTGTATATGTTACGAAGGTTGGTTGCCTCGGGGACGCGGACATTGCGTCATGTACAAGGAATTATGGCCTCGGGGTCGCGATTCTCAAGTATCTTTACCTGTCCTACGCCCCCCCCTTGGAATACAGAGAACGCGACTCGGGCGTGGTAATTGGGCGGTTTGCCCCCCCCCCCCCCCCCCCCCCCCCCCCCCTCCCCTCTCGCGGATGTAAACAGTTGACAGTAGGAAGCAGAAAGCAGAATTGCAACATTGGAGACTTGAAACTGCAACTGGCGCAGGGAGCAGCAACTTCGTCCTACAGCTACAGCCTGGTGGCCCCACAAGGGGGCCGGCGGACTCCTGCGTCTCACTACCATCATTTTGCCATTGATATTGGCGCTGGTCCTGCTACTGTTGCTACTTCTGCTCCCGCCTTCAATATCTAGTCAGGGGCGCTGCTCGATGGTTAAGCGCGCCATCGTGGTTTCCACGGTATACATTGCGAACAGCCGCGCTCGACACGGTTCACCCACCCGCGAGTTGTGGCTACGATGGCCAGGGTGTTTGAGTTGGCCGCGTTTTCGATCTTCGAACCGTGACTCCTTCGCTTCATCGTCGGAGTTCAGTCGTCTTGCGTGTCCTCCTCCCCTTCTCGCTCCTACCTGCGCCTGCGGCTAGAATTTTGGCCATGCTCGCAGGACGCCGTTCTTTGCTGAGCCATTCTCGGCAGCACGGCTTTCGGGATCCACAGCGTCTGGGGGATTCCAACCCATCCTCGGATCGGTCTTCTTGTCGCAGCTGTCCAGCCCTCCCCTACCTTCTCCTTTCTTGCTTTGTACCCCAGTGTTTCCCTTTTCTCAGGCCGCCTAGAGGACGAGTGGTTCATCGCGACGGTCTCCGCGAGCGTCCCCCCTCCTCTGCCCGTTCGGCTCTTCTCTCCTCATCAATCCCGGCGCTGTTGCGCGACGTTAGCGGCAATGCGATTAGTATCTCGATTCTGGAGGATGCGTGGGCAGCTGCTCTCGGTAGCGCTTCGTGGTGGTAAAGTGGTGTGTTGCACTCTAGGCTTCCATTTTGTCCTGTCTTCTTCCCTCCCTCCTCGCCGCGCCGCCGCCGCTGCTTTCCAGTTTGGATATTTGTGATGGGACCCGCGTTCAGCAGACGCGTTGTCTTCTGGCAGCTTAATTGGGGCGTCCCTCTTATCGTGATGTGATATTCCCTTACTCCTGGCCCCCTTCCTCCGATCACATTGCACTTTTGTGTGGGTAGCCCTTTCTATGACCCGACTGGTCTACGCATGCGCGAGTTGTGTTCTGTCTGTTTGTATTCCTCGTTCTCATCGTCGTCCTCGTGCTCCGCTCCTCTTCCTCTTCTCCGCGGGTTTTCAGGAACGTGCGAGCTCACGTTTTCCACTCATTGAGCCTAGGCACGTGATGATTTGGGGTCCGAGTCTCGGCCGCATGCGCAGGACTGCCCAGCTACGTTGCCGTAGTTATGCTCGCCTGGGCTGGCCGGTGTCTGGCGTGTGGACCCGCCTGCTGCAGGCTGGCCCTCAGGTGATGCCAGGGTTGGCGGCTTCCTCGCCGAGGCCGTGTTGGACGCCCTGGCACCTCGCGGGCCCCCCCAAAAAAGTCCAGGGGAGGGGTAAGGGCAGGGGTAAACCCCTCCCCGTAGGGGAAGAGGGGTTGTCTTGGAAGAGAGAAGAGGAATCTCGTTAGACGACCTGCGCCCAGAGGGCTGGTGGGATTGTTCACTGGAATGGTCAGAACAGAAAGGTCCTGCTACAACTGCTATTCAGTCGTCTCCCCCTTCCTCCACCTCCCCCTTCCCAGCCTCCTCTTCTCTTTGTCTGGGCCCCCACGGCAGAAGCTCAAAGCTGGCGCGTCGGTGGACGACCTCGGCGAAGTGAAAATCTGATCCCCTGCCAACATTAATAATAGGAGAGGGGGGATCTGATGTGGCATGGGTGTTCGCTATTTAAGAGACTTGCGCCATTCCGCCGGCCCCTAGATGAGGTAAGGAGTCAACGGTCGCCATTCATGTAAGTTTGATTGAAACGTTTGTTGGCAGTCCAGTGGCCTTCGACCCATCCCGCCGCCGTGCCTGTCTTGTGGGTTAGAGGGGAAGCCTCCGGGGAGCTCGAAGGCAGTTCTGAGGCCGCTTGGGGACCGTTTGGAAGCCCTGCCTCTCCGCAAGCCCCCCACCCACTCGCACTCATCATCATGGATCCCCACCTTCCTGCACCCCCTGCTCTTCGTCGTCTGTTCCCTGCTGTTCCCTCCCTCTTTAAGTACACATCCTCTGGGTGCTTCCCGCATTATCGTGCCTCGTCCCCCCCTTTGCCCTCCATCGACCGCTGTCGTTCCAAAAGGCCTCCTCCCACCATTCATTCAAGGCAGACGCCCTCTCTTCCCTGCCAAGGTGAAGTCTCTCCTGTTCCACGCGCACAGCTGGCTGGGAGTCTCCCGCCTGCTGCAAGCGGTCCACGCAGCTGGCGCAAGCTGCCCCGTGGAATTCATCAGGCGGGGGGCATGAGTGCAATCTCGTCCTGCTCCCTCTTCCAAAACAGCCGCTTCGGTCATCAAGCAACTTCCCCTCTTCCTCGTTCTAGCCCAGCGACTCTTGTCGGCCCTTTCCGCAGGCCCGCGCGGATCCCAGACCACCCCCGATGCGCACACGGGGCTGTGTGCGCGCACGGCTGGCTCCCCAGCGCTTGGCCAAACCTTTACCGAGAAGCTGGCCCTGGGTGATTTGAGCGAACGTGCTTTCTCGGCGATGCGTAACCCCAGGGGGTCTTTAATGCTATTGGGCCCCTCCCCCCCCTAAGCTCTCTCCACGTCCTTCCCCTCATCATCATCACCATCATCATCATCGCCATCAGGGATCCTCATCCCCCCCGATCATTCGCGGTGGCCGCCGCGGGGAACAATTGGTTTTCCAGTTTGGTTGGGGGTCCCAATCCGTCAATAAACCAGCTGAAAGGAATGATGTTCCCAACCTTATAGGGGGTTCAAAGACCCGTTGCGGTTAAACAAATCATGTTCCTCTTTTCTCCCCCACATTCTGGCTCAACGGTCCTTCATCGTTCCCACGAAGACCTCCCAGATGGCGACTCTTAAAAACTCACACCAGCTTCAGTCATCGACCCGCCTCGGCCCGTCTCTCCGAGGTGGACCTGCACCCAGCTGCTCGGAGTCCTCTGCAGGGCGGCCCCCATCCTCACCGTGCCCGACGGCGAGGAGGCCCCCGGGGGGACACCAGGGGGCCACCAGGGACGGAGGAGGGGGTGTTTGATGATGATAATGATGCTGATGATGATGGTGATGATGATGCAGATGATGATGATGATGATGATGATGATGATGATGATGATGATGATGATGATGATGATGATGATGATGATGATGATGCTGATGCTGATGCTGATGCTGATGCTGATGCTGATGCTGATGCTGATGCTGATGCTGATGCTGATGCTGATGCGGATGCGGATGCGGATGCTGATGATGATGATGATGATGAGGAGGATGAGGATGAGGATGGTGATGAGGATGAGGATGAGGATGAGGATGAGGATGAGGATGAGGATGATGGTGATGGTGATGATGATGATGATGATGAGGAGGAGGAGGAGGAGGAGGAGGAGGAGGGCGAGAAATATAGGTCGCCCGCCTGCGAGTAGGTGCCCTCGCCGGGCGGCCTGGCCGGACGCGCGGCCCCGACAACGCGGGTCTCGCCAAGCCGAGCGGAAGGAAGGAAGGAAGGAAGGAAGGCAGGAAGGAAGGCAGGAGGAAGTGGGAGAGGGGGGGGGGGGATTGAGGGGGGAGGGGCAAGAGGGTCTGGAGGAGAGGGGGTAGAGGGGGGGGGGAAGAGAGGTGGTGGAGCAGCAGTAAGAGGAGGAGACCCTCTGGCCTGGCGTGGTTCCCCGCGTGCAGGGTGCGGCTGCAGCCGGGCCGCTTCCCTGCTGGCCTGTGTGGGCGCGTCTCGGCTCGAGGTGTTTTTTTTTCTACCATTGCAGCGGGGCCCAGCGGCAAGACGAAGGAACGACAGAAGAAGACGACGATGAGGGAGAGGAGGGAAAGGAAGGGCGAGGGGGGCAAACGCCAGCGCCCGCGCGGCCCCGCGCTGGCTCAGTCCGGCGGGCCGGGGCGCGCAGCCAGCCGATCCTGGAGGACGGCGCGCCATGCCGCCTCGCTGCCGCCTGCGCGCGCTGCCGGCAACAGCAGCAGCACTCCCGCCCGCGGCGGCAACGCGGGCTGCTCTCAACCGCCACACGGGCGGCTGGCTGGCCAGTTGCGGCCGCGCCGGCGCCCAGCACCCGCAGCGCATGCAGGCAACCCAGGCCAGGCCCTGGGACGCCGCGTGCGCCAGCCAGGCGCGGCCCGCGAAGAGGTCCCGCGCCGCCGCGGCCGCGCCCGGGCGCGGTGCCACCGCGGGCGCTGGGGTGGCGGCCTGCCCGCGCTGCGGCGGCGGCGCTGCGGCTGCGGCCACTGCGGCTGCGTCCCCCGCGCAGGGCGCGCGCCTCCAGCGGTGCCCTGGCGCGGCTCAGCCGCGCCGCACCCTGGGCCCGCCTGGGCCCGGGCCGTGGTTCGCTTTCAGAGCGGCCAGTTCCACAGCCGCCGCCGCTCACTGGAGCGCTTCGAGCGCGTCCAGCTGCTGCGCCCGCCGCTGGCGCAAGTCGAGAGGCGGGGTTTGGGCTCGCGCCCGGGCGTCGGCGAGCATGTCCGCGGCGGCGTTGCCAGCCCAGTCCGCCTCGGCGATGCCGCGGGCTGGGGCTTCAGCCTTGTCCAGGTGACCCTTCACCCAGCGGGCCCGCAGCAGCCCGCTGCGGCATTGCGGTGCGATTGCCTCCCAAAGGTCAGCGTGCGGCCAGTTCGTCGCGCTCGCGCCGCCCCTAAGCGCGGTGACCCTGCGACTCACGAAGCGGGAATCAGTGACGACGTCAACGGGTGCCCTTGCTAGGCTGCACGCCTCCGCCGCAGCCCACAGTTCGGCACGCTGCGCGGATTGCCGCTCGTCAATCTGGCCGTGGCGGTCGATGCGCCTCACAGGCAGCCCCTCCAACCTCGCGCCCCACCCCGCGCGGGCGAGCCACGGGCCCCACGGGTGCAGGCAGGAACCGCCGGTCCAGACGCGGACCCGCCCGCGCGGCAGCTGCTCCGCGGCGTGGTCAGGAAGCGGCGTCAGCGGCAGCGCCTGCTGGGCCACGGCGGCCAGCGCGGCCAGGCGGGCGTCCAGGGGGAACACCGCTGTCCTCGCGGTCTCGGCTGGCAGGCACGCGCGCGCGGCGGCCAGGATGGAGCCGCTCGTCGCGAAAGCCGCGCGTCGCGTCGCTTGCCATCGCGGGCGCGCCCACAGCCAGTGTTCGAGATCCTCGACTGCGGTGCCGCAATGGGGCACGCCTGCGGCCGCCCCAAAATGGCGGCCGCGGACTCCGTGATCAGATTGTCAGAAATCTCAGTCCGCAGGGCGTCCGCGGCGTCGGGCGCCAGCTTGCAGTCTCTAAGAGCCGGCGAGTCGCCCTGCGATCCACGCCCCCCGCGAGGTGCTCGTAGTCGGCCCAGCGCCTGGCGACTTCGCGGGCTTCCCGCCCCCCCCCAAGCCTGCGCCGCGCGGGTGTCTGGGACGGCGCGGGCGGCTGGGCGCCAGTTGTCGGGGGCCTCCGGGATGCCGCCCCAGGCCCCGATGTCGGCTCCCATCTGCAGTTCTACCAGGCTCTGGGAGGCGCTTGCGATCGGGCCAAACCGCCGGCCGTGCCCTGCAGCCATCGCGCCCGCAGCCTCGCGCCTCAGGTCTGCCGGGAACCGCGTCCGACGGAGCGATTCTGCAGCCTGCCATAACGGGGCGATCACCGTTGCGGCCACCGGATCAAGACGCCAGCTCGGCGCGAGAATGCCGAAGACGATCTCCGCGGACGCGCGCGGGCCACCGCGGCAGAGGGCCTTCTTCGCCGCCGCGCGCAGGCTGGCGGCCGCCCGCAAGCGGCGCCGCAAAGGTCCGCTGCCTGCGCCAGCTGCTGCGCCCAGCTGGCAGCTGCTCCCGAAGCGGAGCGGCAGGCGGCCGAGGCGGGCAAACCGTGCGGAGGCCCCGCGCACCCGCGCCGCAGTGACTGCGCAGCGCCTGGCCCTGCCCGCGGTGGTCCCGACCCCCAGGGCCTGGATCTCAGTGCTCGCCCAGGTCCTAGGGACCTGCTCCGCGAGCCAGCGCAGGAGCTCCCTGCCGTTCGCGAACTGTTTGCTTTTGTTGGAGCGGTTCAGGGTCCAGCCCGTGGCCGTCTCAAAAACAGCCGTCAAGCTTGCGCAGTGCGTCCCGCACGGCCTCGGCGACCTCCGCCCCGTCTCCCACGGCCGCCCGCGCCCAGAGCGCGAAGTCGTCTACATGCGCGCGCCGGCGCAATCGATCGCCCAGCCTGCCGGTTGCTCGCGCCCACGGCAGGGCCAGCACGGCCAGGATGCACATTGCGAGGAGGCAGCCAAGCAGCAGGCTCCGGGGGGGCCGTTACTGGCGCCCGATGGCCGCGCCAAGCCGGATGCGCTTGCGAGCAGAATGCGCTGCCAGAGCTGGCTTGGAGATCCGGTCGGGGACCCTAGCGCGCGCCAGAGGAGAGCAGGAAGCGTCTGGAGGTCACCTGGTCGCAGGCCTTTCACCAGTCCAGCGCGGCCCCGGCGACCTTTTCCGACAAGGCGTCGGCCGCCTTCAGCTCCAAGGCCAGCTCCCAAGCGAGCTCCTCGGCTCCCTGCCACCGTACTCCCCCGCCCACCGGGCGAATGGGCGCGCGCGGCCTGCAGCCCGCAGGCGGTAGAGGATAGGGAGGAGCTTAATTTGTTAATGGGCCGCTGCCAGGCTTCTGCAACACCAGCCCCTGCGGCTCCACGAGCTCATGCGGCCATGCTCCGTGCGTCTCCAATTCCTCAAAGAGCTGCGCGATCCACTCGTGCGGGCCATGCGGCAGCAGCCAGAGTTCGCTCGCCAGCCGCGCGTCCAGCCCAGGCTTTTTTGCGTCTCGGCATGGCCCGCAGCAGCGAGGTCACCAAATATGCGGCCCAGGGCGCCGCATCAGGGAATGGCGGCAAGCCGCCCCTGCGCCCATGCCGCCAGCACGCGGGCCGCCGCGGGCAGCCGCCAGAGCTCGCGCCGAGGGCCTTCGAAGTATCGGAGCTTCGCGGCTGGGCCGCCTCGCAGCGCAAGCAGCCAGGGCCTGTGGCCTGCCGATGGCCCAGCGGCGGCCGCGGCCGCCGCAGCACCCACCACCCATCAACGGCGGCGCAGGTGCCAGCTCGGCTTCCACGCTGCCGCCGCCACGAATCCAGCAGTAGAGCCGCCCCTGGCAGTTAATTAGCTAGGGCATCGTGCGCCCACCTGCGCCACTCCTCCCGTCGCTGGAGTCTGGCGGCCGACTGCGCGCCCTTCCAGTCGGCCTCGGCCCGCTGCAACAAGGCCTCGACCGTCGAGGACGCCGACAAGTTTGCGAACTCGAACGCCCGGCCCGCGTGGCCCGCGTCGGAGGTGCGCAGCGCCTGCAGCGTGGCCTCAGCAGTGCGCCCAGCGGCAATGGCGCTGCCACGCTGCGCGTGCCGGAGGCATCGCAAGCGCCTGAGTTGCAGCAGCGACGCGTCCGCGGCAGTGCAGCCTCGCCGCCGCCGCCTCGCGCGCCCGGCTGTTCTGCTTTCAAAGTCGCTGCAGCATGCGGTCGCTCCGCAACCGTCGCCCTGACTTGCCTGGCCGAGAGCCACGTGCGCATCGAAGAAGAATAAGAAGAAGAAGAAGAAGAAGAAGAAGAAGAGGAAGAGGAAGAAACGGACATGGGGATGGGAGAAGGAGGAGCAAGAGAAGGATATGACGGGGAGGATGAAAGGAAACAGGAGAGTCAGCCTCTCTCTCTCTCTCTGTTTCACTCTCTTTCTCCCTCTTCTCCCTCTTCTCTCTCTCCTCTCTCGCTCTCTTTCTCTGCCTCCTTTCCCAGAGAATCAGCAAAATCTTAGAACATCGCGGGGGCCCGATACCGAGCCGAAACCGGAAAACCAGTGCGCGCGCAGGAGATGCACAGCGACGTGGGGGACTGGTGCGAGTGCCTCGCCCTGCTGCTGCCGCGCACGGGCGACAGCTGCCGGGCCGTGGTGGCGGTGGCCATAGACGCGGTCCAGCAACTGCTGTCCCGCTGCGAGTGGACGGCCACGGTGCACATTGGCCCACCAGGCGACCGGTTTCTCGGGGGGGAGGGACGAGGACCTCGACAACTACACGTAAGAGTGACTCTTCGCCGCAATGACCTCCGGTGCAGGCACACGGGGGCCCCCAAAAGGTGTGGTGACCACACCGTGTGGTGAGTCGGCGGGGATTCGGGGTCACCGCACGGTCTTGGGACTCGAGTCCCTCTCCGAGGATGTCTCGGGCGACAGGGGCCTCCAGGGTCCCAAGACCGTGCTGTGACGGCCCGTGCGGTGAGGTCTCTTGGGGTTCCGAGGTCACCGCACGGTCTGTCACCTCACGGTTTTGGGATCCCCCACCGTCACGGGGGTACCCCGATCGCCGACCGCGCTGCGATAGTGGCATCTTGCGCGCCTGTGTTCGATTCCCGAGCGGCCCCGCCAGGAAGCCGTGCACCAAAGGTCACTCCGTGCCCAGCGTCACTCTTGCGTGTAGCCGAGGATCGAGGCTCCCCAGGGCGCGTGCTGCGGGAAGGGACGTCAGCTCAGCGTGTCGCGCCGCCGATTCGGGCCCCGCCACGCTTCTGCGCGGCACGCTGAGCATTCCGTCCGCGAGCATCAGCGTTCTGAGCTCTTCCCCGCCGCCCGCCCCGCGGAGCAGAGCGGCACGCTGGCAGCCTGCAAGGCATAGCGTTTCGCAGGGGCCGCCGCCGCGCAGACTCCGACCCCTGGCCCAATATGTGCTTACCTTGTTCAGCTCCACCATTATCGGGGAACCTTAGAGCTCAAATTTGCCGGAACTCGGGCTTACCACGGCTTTTTGCCTCTGGCTTGGCGATGCTGGAACCGTTTTTGAAAAGGGATCACGCGGGGAATTTTGCTGTGATGTTTGCAGTGGGACCTCGCAGGGAGTTTTTATGCCGGCGAGTTTTCACAGACGTCCCGTCATGTTTCTGACGTCCCCGTCTTGCAAATTCGAGTCAATCATACTCGAGTCTTGCATTCCCCCGATGATAGCAGGCAGCCTGTGTCGGCCTTAATTGGGCCGCTTGCCTCATGTTGAGGGGCCGCGGTTGTGGGCGAGCACACATCGGCACCAAAATACGTTCTGAGGATCGTCGCGAGGAGGGGTGTACGGTCAGGAGCCTTTGCTTAGCTTGTCGCGCCCTCAGATCTGGTCCACATCTCTTTTGCATGGCACACTAACCACGTACTGGCTCCCTGGACTCAACGGTCCAAGCCTTGCACAGCTTGTCCAGAGCGACGCGCTATCCGCTTGCAGGGCATAGCGTGTCATTGGGGCCGCCGCCGCGACACGCTAAGCAAGAGTTCCTGACCGCAAGAGGGTGACCCAGACTTCGACGGCTCGATTGGTTCCACGCGTGGCCCGTGGTGGAGCCACGGACTCCTGGCCTCCCGGGCCTGGCTTTCGTCGCGCGCCGCTCGTCGGTTGCCCCCCCTTGGTCCGCGGACGCCGAAGTTGGGAGAACACTTTCGTTGAAAAACAGCATGACGCCGGATGTTTGGGCAATGCGGGTTGGAACCCGCGCACTGCCCCTAGTGAAGCAACGCACGACGAGGCCGAAGCTTGTCGACAAAACGCCCGTTGCTACCATAGCCCTCGCAGTGGCGTATCAGGGTGAAGGTGCGGCGGGGTCGTCGGCAGTCTGCAAGGCTCCGAAGAGGCCCGCCGCAGTAGCCGATTTTAACACACATTGCACAACGAGCTCGCCGCAGGCGCAGATTGTGTTGTCAAAGCAGCTTGGTTGGATCGCGAGTGGGTCGCGGGGTGGACCGCGTGGTGGGCGCCAGGTGGATCGAGGTGGGGTCGCGGGGGGATGACGACGACGACGACGACGACTATCATGACGACAATAAGTACAATAATTTTTGAGACTGCTCGCTATCAAATGCTGGCGTGTCAACCAACATGTGTCTCCCAAACCCTTGACACCCGCCCTCTTCGTCTTCGCTCGTATTCCTTTTAGGGGGCCATCATCGTCCCTGCCACGTGTAATTGGCGCAACCTTTGAACACTGTAAAAGCAAACATAATGGAAAAAGGTGAGAGCGAGGAGGAAGCGAGTGGGGGAAGGGAGGGAGGAAGGAAGGGGGCCAGAAGGAAGGACACATGGAGGACGAGAGGGGTCAGCAAGAGGACTTAACAAGAGGGCATGTTTAGGAAGTCTCAGGCGAGGGCTCGGTCTTTGAGTAAATCATGAGGAAGTCCCGTGCGAAAGCGCGATTCCAGAGCGCCGAGAGAGCGCTTCGTAGATCAAGTGTGAGGAAGTCCCACGCGAGAGCGCGATTTGGAATAAATTGTGAGGAAATATCGAGCGGGAGTAATTTGTGATTTCAGATTTCATAAGAACAGGATGGTTGTTGACCCCCCTCTGGTGCACCTTGCGTTTCTTCACTTACCTAGAGCGCTCCTCCCCGGGCTCGCACTTTGTTTTTACACAGGAAAGTCTTCATCGTCAGATTGGGTTGTCGGCCCCCGAGCTGCAGCAACAATGGCTCCCGCTTGATACTTCTTCCAAATTTGGCGTTCTCGCGCTGGACGTCCTCACATTGTATACAGGAATCGCGCTCTCGCGTGGGACTGCCTTGCAATTTATTGAGACGCCGCGCCCTTGACACTCAGGAATCATGCCTTCGCACTGGACTTACGATTTTCCTGCGAATCAAAACGTTTCTCGCTCGAGACTTCCTCGCCTTCCATAGATTGATGCTTCAGCGACCGTCCGCTCAACCCGGCCGTCTGGGTCTGCCCGCCCGACCCGCCCGGTAGGGTCAGCCCGCCCGTCCTTGCCCATCTTGTCTGCCACTTGTTTTCCTGCTCCGAATTGCCCTCCAAATCGAAGACGAAGAGGGTGGTATCGATGGCTTGGGAGGTAAATGTCGGCTGACTCGCGAGCAGATAAGAGCGATCAGTCTCAACACAGTTGTTGATGTTGTTGCTGTTCATGTAGTTCGGGCGCCAGGGGCCCAATCTGAGGCGCAATCTTTGCCCTTGTAAAGGACCGGAATCGAGCCACGGGGGGAAATCCTCAACTGAAAAGCGCAAGGTGCACCGCAGAGAGGAATCAGCATCAGCTATTCTCTTGAAGCGGGGATTCAGTTGACATTTGAGATTGTTCGCTCTTCGTTGCTCGCGCGCCGTTCGACACGCACCCCCCCCCGAACCATCGATACCCACCCTCTTCGTGGTCGAAATCTAGGTCCTGTGCCCATGCAGTGCGAGTTGCACGACGAATGATGGAATGAAGCGCTGGCCGAGAGGGGGGGGAAGGTCATCCCCCTGGAAGACACCACAGGCATGTGTTCGGTTGGGCAGAAGGGGCACTGCAGTCTTGGCGCTGCAAGGGGGAATGCCATGATCGCGAAAGGAACGATATTCGAAACGAAGTATTCGAGGCTAATCAGACGGTCTCGGAGCTTGCAGAGGGCGCAAGGTCATGGCGGAATACGTTTTCGGGAGCAAGGTAGTTGATGTTATGACCGCGAGGGGGGTGAAGGTCACGAGGTCGAGGAATGATGTGCATGGGTGCGAGTGGGGGCCGCGGGCACGTGCAAGAGGAGTGGATGTGATGATCGTCGGAGAGAGGCAGGGATCGATGCGACGAGGGGGCGACGCTGATGACCGCGAGGGGGGTGAAAGGCCATTGCCAGGAGAAACGGTGGCGAGTGCCTCCGTGAGAGGGGTGGGCGCAGGGGCACTTTTTTCCGTGCTCAGGATCTACAAGCAGCAGGTGGCTTGCGCGGCGTAAGGCCAGGATGCGTTTGAGGGGCGGGGTCCGATCGCAACAGAAGCTCGGGCCAAACGACGTTGCGCACTAAGGCATTGCCCTTGGAATATATGTTCTCGTTGTCGGGGAGAACGCGCAGGTCAGCGCGTTTCTTCACCCTGCTGAGGCCCACATAGAGGTGCCCGTGCGCAAAAGGGCTCCGTCTCACGTCCAGGGTCACACGCACCAGCGTTCGGCCCTGCCCTTCGTTAAATGAGGAGGCGCACGCCGCTCGCAAAGGATACTGCCGACGCGCCATGGTGGACGTGCCGTTGGCGATCTGCCGCCGGACGACGATGCGCGGCAACGGATATTGGCGGCCATTTAACGTTTCTATGAGGACGTGGTGGTGGTGAGCCGCCTTGACAATGACCGGCACGTGGTTCATGAACCGCTCGGCAGGGCTTAAGTTCTTCATGAGCTCGAAGAGGCCTCTGACGACAATGTGCAGGTCGTGGGGCGGCGCGCTGGGGCCGCTGGGTGCATTCTGCAGCGTCAGGAACACTGCGGTCAGGTGCGGCTCGATCATGCCGGCAGAATCGATGTCCGGGGTGCCGGCGTTGAGCTAATGGTATACGGGCACAAGAAGGTGCGCTTCAACGCGTGGAGGATGCGCGCGTTGTGCGCGTCCACCAAGGTGTTCACAGCGCCCAGTATCTTGGAGTCGGAGCAGTCGCGCGGGTCGTTGACGCGAGGGAATGCGTGACGAATGGCCGCCGCCTCGTCAGGCACGGCGGCGATGTCGCGCAAGGACACGAACACCCCGTCACCAGCATCGTTGCGCTGAGTAGGTTGGGTACCGTCAGCGATTCCGTCAATCCATTGGCAGAAAGAGGCATCTTCAGCCTGTCGCCAGACGCGGGCGAGCAGTACCGGGTGAACCTTGACCGCGAATAGAGGATTGCACGGTGTTTTGGACGATGACGCGGTGGCTGGCCTTGGGAATGACTGGGGGGATGCGGCAGAAGTCCCCGTAGCATATGAAGACCTTGGCCCGGTACTCCCTAGAGTGCTGCGTTCTTAGGTCTTCGAGCTGGGCCAAGGAAGATCCCCGCGCTGCTTTGCGGAAGCAAGGCCACTCATCCCACTGGATGACGGGGGCCCTTGCGATGTGGAGAGCCGCTGCCGATCGGACGTGCAAGTTGCTGAACAGCTCCGGGGAGTCGCCCACAGGGATGGCTAACGCGGAGTGCGCCGTGGCGCTGTGGGGGGGCTGCAGAGCTGCGCGCCCCGTGCTGGCGACGTTGATAACGACCCACACA